GGGGGTCAAGAGAAGGAGGCATTAATTCCCCGTCTTTTTCCCCGATGTGCAGAATCCCTTCGGAAGAGCCACTCGGAGGTGGGGCTCCAGCTGGGGTCCCCCACGACCTTCCAGGACTCCCACAAGAGCCAGACCTGCCAGGACCTGACCTCCTGCTCCACGGAGCCTCCGCCAGACCCCGCTGCCTTGGGGCGCTCCTCGACCGACAGCACTCAGTGCCAAGCCGCAGCAACGTCGGAGGCGGTTCCCATCAGCGCGGACAACGGGCTGACCTTCCCGGACGGCTTCCGTCCGCTGCGCTGCACCCAACCGGGGCCCGGCCTGCCCTTGGAGCTCTCGCCCATCGTCAAGAACCCCTTCATGTCGCCCTTGTTGGCCCCGGACGAGATGCTCATGGGGCTGCCCCCTGTCCACATTGTGGTAAGTTTTGGGGGGCCATAAGGCCATGGGGTCAAAGAGTGAAAGGAGTCCTTCCAGACTGGTCAAGATGGATATTTTGCTTTCTTTTGGCCCGTTTTGGAACGGAAGGGAGTTAGCCACGTGGCATTGGGGGAAATAGCCCTATGGATGGAAGGATGGATAGATAAATGGATAGATGATAGACACATAGATTCATAGAGCCATCTAGTTGGTTGGTTGGTTGGTTGGTTGGTTGGTTGGTTGGTTAGTTGGATGGACGGACGGACGGACGGACGGACAGACAGACAGATACATGGAGAGACTCATAGATTCCTAGAGCCATCTAGTTGCTTGGATGGATGGATGGATGGATGGATGGATGGATGGATGGATGGATAAATAGAAAAATTGATGGATGATGGATGGATGGATGGATGGATGGATGGATGGATGGATGGATAGATAGATGATAGACTCATAGATTCATAGAGCCATCTAGTTGATGGATGGATTGGATGGATGGATGGATGGATCTCATAGATTCATAGAGCCATCTAGTTAGTTGGTTCGTTGGTTGAACGGGCAAGTGGGCGGGAAGAAAGACAGACAGACAGATACATGGATAGATGATAGACTCATAGATTCATAGAGCCATCTAGTTGGACGGACGGATGGATGGATGATAGACTCATTGATTAGTAGAACCATCTAGTTGGTTGGTTGGTTGGTTGGTTGGACTGCCGGACAGATAAATGGATAGATGATAGATTCATAGAGCCATCTTGTTGGATGGATGGATGGACGGATGGACAGACAGACAGACAGATAGATACATGGAGAGATGATAGACTCATACATTCATAGAGCCATCTAGTTGCTTGGATGGATGGATGGATGGATGGATGGATGGATGGATAGAAAAATGGAAAAATAGATGGATGGATGGATATATTGATAGATGATAGACTCATAGATTCATAGAGCCATCTAGTTGGTTGGTTGGTTGGTTGGTTGGTTGGTTAGATGGACGGACAGATAAATTGATAGATGATAGAATCATAGATTCATAGAGCCATCTAGCTGGATGGATGGATGGATGGATGGATGATAGACTCATGGATTCATAGAGCCATCTAGTTGGGTTCGTTGGTTGAACGGGCAAGTGGGCGGGAAGAAAGACAGACAGACAGATACATGGATAGATGATAGACTCATAGATTCATAGAGCCATCTAGTTGGACGGACGGATGGATGGATGATAGACTCATTGATTAGTAGAACCATCTAGTTGGTTGGTTGGTTGGTTGGTTGGACGGCCGGACGGCCAGCCGGACAGATAAATTGATATATTCATAGAGCCATCTAGTTGGATGGATAAATAGAAAAATAGATGGATGGATGGATATATTGATAGATGATAGACTCATAGATTCATAGAGCCATCTAGTTGGTTGGTTGGTTGGTTGGTTGGTTAGATGGACGGACAGATAAATTGATAGATGATAGAATCATAGATTCATAGAGCCATCTAGCTGGATGGATGGATGGATGATAGATACTCATGGATTCATAGAGCCATCTAGTTGGTTGGTTGGTTGGTTGGTTGGTTGGATGGATGGATGGATGGATGGATGGATGGATGGATGGATGGATGGATGGATGGATGGATGGACGGACACATGAATGGATAGATGATAGACTCATAGATTCCTAGAGTCCTCTAGTTGGATGGATGGATGGATAAATAGAAAAATAGATGGATGGATTGATGGATAGATGATAGACTCAAGGATTCTTCGAGCCAGCTAGTTGGATGGATGGACAAACAGATAGATAAATAGCATTAACTATCAAGTTTGCAGCAGTTTAGGCCTTACTGGGGTCGCCAGGAGTTATGTGGGCTTCTGGATGTCGTGGAACTGCAAATCCCAGCATTCATCTGCATTGGCTACAGGGGATGATGGGATTTGTAGCCAAGATGCATGGCTCACTCACCTACCCTTTCCTTCCTTCCTTCCCCTTCCTTCCTTCCTTCCTTCCTTCCTTCCTTCCCTCCTCCCTCCTTCCTTCCTTCCTCCCTCCCTTCCTTCCTTTGCACACTGGCATGCCAACTGAGGCATCAGCTTGGTTTTAAAACAGAATCATAGAAGAGTCAGAAGAGATCCCCAAAGGCCATCTACTCCACCCACTTCTGCTATGTAAAAACATAAAACTTCCTTCCTTCCTTCCTTCCTTCCTTCCTTCCTTCCTTCCTTCCTTCCTTCTTCCTTCCTTTGTCCTTCTTTCCCTCTCTCCTCTCTTCATTCTTTCTTTCCCTTTCCTTTTTCATTCTCCCTTCCTTCCTATTCCTCCTTCTCTCCTCCCTTCCCTCCTTCCTTCCTTCTCCTTCCTTCCTCTCTTTTTTCGTTCTTCATATCCATCCATCCATTCATCTATCATTCATCTAGCCACCTCTATCTATCTATCTATCTATCTATCTATCTATCTACCTATGTATCTATCCACCCATCCATCATCCATCTAGGTGCCTCTGTCTCTCTCTCTCCATATCTATCTATCTATCCATCCATCCATCCATCCATCCATCCATCCATCCATCCATCCATCTTCTTCCAGGCCTGCGCACTGGACCCGATGCTGGACGACTCGGTGATGTTTGCGCGGCGCTTGCGTGGGCTGGGCCGCCCGGTCTCCTTGCGCGTGGTGCAGGACCTTCCGCACGGCTTCCTCAGCCTCTCCCAGTTGTGCCGCGAGACCCGCCAGGCCACCGCCCTCTGCACCGAGATCATCCGCAGCATCCTCGTCCCTCCGGACCCTTCCTCTTCCACTTCCTCTTCCTCTACCTCCTCGCACCGCAAGCACCGCAAACTGGAGCGGACCGCCGGACCCGCGGCCGACCCCCCGAGGCGCCCCAGCAACACCGCATCTGGATCCGCATCCAAGCCGGGACCCCTCCGCCGCGGGAGCGCTTCCTCGGGGGGGCCCGCCACTAAGGACATTGCCCCCAACGCTAGCCAGGATTCGAGCCCCTCGGAAAACACCGTGGGGCGAGGAGTCGGGGCTTGAGGACCCCCCATTCCTTTGCAAATGCATCCCTTGGTTTGAGAGTCTTGAGTGTCGTTGCTTTTCCTTTTTTGCGGTGGAAAAACAAAACACTGTTGATGCTCCCCCGTGTCTTTGGGGCTGAGCACACAATGCCAGCCTCTTCCTCAACGCAAAATATAATAATCCCAATTTTTGGGGGCTGAGCACACAATGCCAGCCCCTTCCTCAATGCAAAATATAATAATCCCAATTTTTTTGTGGCTGAGCACACAATGCCAGCCCTTTCCTCAATGCAAAATATAATAATCCCAATTTTGGGGAGCTGAGCACACAATGCCAGCCCCTTCCTCAATGCAAAATATAATAATCCCAATTTTGGGGGGCTGAGCACACAATGCCAGCCTCTTTCTCAATGCAAAATATAATAATCCCAATTTTGGGGGGCTGAACACACAATGCCAGCCCTTTCCTCAATGCAAAATATAATAATCCCATTTTTGGGGGGTTGAGCACACAATGCCAGCCTTTTCCTCAATGCAAAATATAATAATCCCATTTTTGGGGGGCTGAGCAAACAATGCTAGCCCCTTCCTCGATGCAAAATATAATAATCCCTGTCTTTGGGGCTGAGCACACAATGCCAGCCTCTTCCTCAACGCAAAATATAATAATCCCAATTTTTGGGGGCTGAGCACACAATGCCAGCCCCTTCCTCAATGCAAAATATAATAATCCCAATTTTTTTGTGGCTGAGCACACAATGCCAGCCCTTTCCTCAATGCAAAATATAATAATCCCAATTTTGGGGAGCTGAGCACACAATGCCAGCCCTTTCCTCAATGCAAAATATAATAATCCCATTTTTGGGGGGTTGAGCACACAATGCCAGCCTTTTCCTCAATGCAAAATATAATAATCCCATTTTTGGGGGGCTGAGCACACAATGCCAGCCCCTTCCTCAATGCAAAATATAATAATCCCAATTTTGGGGGGTTGAGCACACAATGCCAGCCTCTTCCTCAATGCAAAATATAATAATCCCATTTTTGGGGGGCTGAGCAAACAATGCCAGCCCCTTCCTCAGTGCAAAAGGGAATGCTCCCCCATATTTTGGGGCTGAGCACACAATGCCAGCCCCTTCCTCAATGCAAAATATAATAATCCCCATTTTGGGGGGGTGAGCACACAATGCAAGCCCCTTCCTCAATGCAAAATATAATCCATTTTTGGGGGGCTGAGCAAACAATGCCAGCCCTTTCCTCAATGCAAAATATAATAATCCCCATTTTGGGGGGCTGAACACACAATGCAAGCCTCTTCCTCAATCCAAAATATAATAATCCCCATTTTGGGGGGGCTGAGCACACAATGCAAGCCCCTTCCTCAATGCAAAATATAATCCATTTTGGGGGGCTGAGCTCACAATGCAAGCCCCTTCCTCAGTGCAAAATATAATCCATTTTTGGGGGGCTGAGCACACAATGCGAGCCCCTTCCTCAGTGCAAAATGTAATGCTCCCCCATATTTGGGGGTTGAGCAAAAATGCCAGCATTCCACGCACCCCCAAGTTATGTTTTTACACTCTTTTAAAGGCATCATGCAGGGAGGTGGAAAGGGGGATCCGTCTCTTCTTAGTCAATACATTGGGGTCCATTTCTACCAGATCCCCCCAAAAACCTTTTTACTAATTCCAGGGGTTCATCCCTCTCTTTTTTACACTATTTTTAAAAGCACTGCGAAGAACTCAGCGGTGGCTCCGTACTGTTTTGAGGGGTCACACTGGACACTCCATTCCTTGCACCCCCAAAAAGCACTCTCCAATAGAAACCAGGATCCAATAGTTTCCATTCTAGGCACAAACGGGGTGTATAGTTTCTGTTCTTGGCACATATGGGGTGCAATGTTTCCACAAAAACTTGTCCTCTTTGGGGTTTTTTTTTTTTTTTTTTGCAGTGGGGTTTGAGGAAAGGTCCCCCCACCCATCACTGCCAAGCGCTGTGCCCCCTTTTTTCCCCTTTTCCTCTTTGCACAATAAAGGGTTTGCACCTTAATACTAAATGGGAAGACCTGTTTCCCCCCCTTTCCCCCCCTAGTATTTTTGGGGTACACACCTCGCACTGTGACCACCCCACAATAAATCCCCCCCTTTCCTACCCCAAGCACTCCAAAATTATATGTTTTGCCTTTTCTTGCTGCTAAGGAACCAAATTTGGGGGGGGATATGGGGAAATAGAAGGGAACAAACTTATTTTTGTAAATAAAAGTGGTTTGAATTGGAGTGGAAGGTTGTCTTAGTGTCTTCTTTGAAGGGGGGCATCATCATCATCATCATTATGAAATTGTGAAATGCTCCTTTTTGTCCAGTTTCAACAACAACAACAAAAACAACAGTCTCTCAATTGATATTAGCCATTGGTTGAGGTTCTGGGTTTGAGCCTGCCACTTTTGGACTCTCGCTTGCTTCTATAATAATAATAATAATAATAATAATAATAATAATAATAGAAAACACAATACAACCCCTCCTGGCAGATGGCCATCCAGGCCCTGCTTAATTATTATTATTATTATTAATAATAATTAAGCAGGGGCTGGATGGCCATCTGCCAGGAGGGGTTGGATTGTGTTTTCTAGGATATTATTATTATTATTATTATTATTATTATTTATTTTGGACTCTCGCTTGCTTCTATAATAATAATAATAATAATAATAATAATAATAATAATAATAATAATAATAATAATAGAAAACACAATGCAACCCCTCCTGGCAGATGGCCATCCAGGCTCTGCTTTATTATTATTATTATTATTATTATTATTATTATTATTATTATTATTATTATTATAGAAGCAAGCGAGAGTCCAAAATAATAATAATAATAATAATAATAATAATATCCTAGAAAACACAATCCAACCCCTCCTGGCAGATGGCCATCCAGCCCCTGCTTAATTATTATTAATAATAATAATAATAATAATATCCTAAAAACACAATCCAACTCCTCCTGGCAGATGGCCATCCAGCCCCTGCTTAATAATAATAATAATAATAATAATAATAATAATAATAATAATAATAGAATCCTAGAAAACACAATCCAACCCCTCCTGGCAGAGAGCCATTCAGCCCCTGCTTAATAATGAATACTAATAATAATAGAATCGCAGAAAACACAATCCAAACACTCCTGTCAGATGGACATCTAGCCCCTGCTTTATTATTATTGCTATCATTGTTATTATTATTATTATTAATAATAATAATAATAATAATAGAATTCTAGAAAAAACCCAATCCAACCCCTTCTGGCAGATGGCCATCCAGCCCCTGCTTAATTAATTAATTAATTAATAATATCCTAGAAAACCCAATCCAACCCCTCCTGGCAGATGGGCATCCAGCCCCTGCTTAATTAATTAAATAATAATAATAGATAATAATAATAATAATAATATACTAGAAAACACAATCCAACCCCTCCTGGCAGATGGGCATCCAGCCCCTGCATGATTAATAATAATAATAATAATAATTAATAATAATAACAATAATAGAATCCTAGAAAACACAATCCAACTCCTCCTGGCAATGGGATTCTGGTACTGCATTATTATTATTATTATTATTAATAATAATAATAATAATAATAATAATAATAATAATAATAATAATAATAATAATAATAGAATACCAGAAAACACAATCCAACCCCTCCTGGCAGATGGGCATCCAGCCCCTGCATAATTAATAATAATAATAGAATATCAGAAAACAATCCAACCTCTCCTGGCAGATGGCCACCCAGCTTCTGCATAATTATTATTAATAATAATAATAGAATATCAGAAAACAATCCAACCCCTCCTGGCAGATGGGCATCCAGCCCCTGCTTAATTAATAATGAATACTAATAATAATAGAATCCTAGAAAACACAATCCAACCTCTCTTAGCAGATGGCCATCCAGCCCCTCCTTAATTAATTAATGAATAATAATAATAATAATAATAGAATCCTAAAAAACACAATCTATCCCCTTGCAGATGGCCATCCAGCCCCTGCAATATTATTATTATTATTATTATTATTATTATTATTATTATTATTATTATAGAATCCTAGAAAACACAATGCAACCCCTCCTGGCAGATGGCCATCCAGCCCCTGCTTAACTAATAATGAACAATAATAATAGAATCCTAGAAATATACAATATTATTATTATTATTATTATTATTATTATTATTATTATTATTATTATAGAATCCTAGAAAACACAATGCAACCCCTCCTGGCAGATGGCCATCCAGTCCCTGCTTAACTAATAATGAACAATAATAATAGAATCCTAGAAATATACAATTTATTATTATTATTATTATTATAGAATCCTAGAAAACACAATGCAACCCCTCCTGGCAGATGGCCATCCAGTCCCTGCTTAACTAATAATGAACAATAATAATAGAATCCTAGAAATATACAATTTTAATTTTTAAAATCTATAAAATACTATTATAGCAATGCCTATTATAGTAATTATTATTATATGAGCTGCAAATTGTTTAAAAAGTGTGATAGGGGTGTGCCTGGGAGAGTCACTTTCAGAGGGGGCTCCATGGACTAATTTGTGGCGCTGGCCCTTTAAGAAACAACACTGGCAGCCAGGCGGACCTTTTTCGGGACTACTTTCCATGCGCGGAGGGAGACAGTGGTGATGACGTCACGGTAACCATAAATTCCATTCACTCGGCGGAGGGATCGCTATCTTTGCCTCAGGGAAGAAGTCCCGGTCCCGCTGAGAGGTGGATTCCAAGATGGCGGCGCCGGTTTCGCGGAGGCCGAAGAGACCGTAACGGAGTCCGACGTGAAGCCGCCGCCTCACGCCCTCTTTCCCGAACTGAACCGGACCGGGAGACCCTCAGGACCCGGTTCTCCTTCCATTGAGCCGTTTACGAACCGCCGCTCCTGCGCAAATTACGTCCCGAGGTGAGGGAGAGAAGAAAGGCGGTGACTTACGCAGGTTGCGTAAAGGCGCTTCGTGAATGGCGCAACTGCTTAGGCTACGTCGCCTCCAGAGGTCGCTGTTGAGCGCTTCCCTACGCTCACTAGCGGGCCGTAAATGGCGTAGACAGGAACTGACTAGATAGGGCGGGAAGCGGGAGGTGGCTGCGCAAATGGCGCAACTCGCGTTCGGGAATAGTAGTAAAGAAGGCACGTGGGTGGGAAAGTCCGTACGCTGTTTCTCGGTGGGATGCCTTCATTGTCTGGATGGCAAACGGCGTAAAACACGCATTTGGCGTAAAGGCCTCCCAAACATTCACAATTCAGGAATGAAGAGTTTTTGTTATCTTTCTGACCCTCCAAATTCAAGAAAATGCCTTTTATTTGCTTTAATAAGTGCATAGAAATCCCTTTATTATAATTATATATAATAAGAAATCACTTCATTATGATGATGATGATGA